AGGGTTGGTTCTTAGATTCACATAAACGTAAAATTATATAATTAAATTACATTCAAATAATTAAATAAATGACTCATAAGGAAGATTCACACCCAATTCTTTCTTAAACATAATCAACCGCAAACAATTCATGAGCTCTAACTACAACACCAATCCTAAAATTATCTAAAAATCGAGGGTTGGTTCTATAAGAATTCATTATAGAAAACTTGCCTGAAACTAATGTTGCTAGCCAAAGCCTCGGTAGGTGTAGGCATAAGCTTAATTGACCAAGTGGCTATATATATATATATATATATATATATATATATTAGAACACATCACGCACAACTATTTTGAATGTTGTAATGTACATAGGTATAGGTCAATCCCATATTGTCTACTATTATTTTTTCTTGTAGTATATTCCTCTGGCTATGTGGGTTTAAAGCAACTTTTGCTAATTTATTTACTTACTTGGGGCAAAATCACTTTTGGTTTATAGATATGTAAATGCATTTTTTCTAACTTATGCTAATTGTGGACAAATTTATTTTATTAATGTACTTTACCCATGCATTTGAGTTGCCAGCTTCAGGAACCCATGGGAAATTGATTGGAGATTATATATTCAAGCTTTCAAAGGTAATAAGTCATAAATTAACAATACCATATGGCTTTTTTCTTCTTGGATTAATTGGTTTTTAAAACATTTTTAATATAATATTCAATCTTTAATTTTCCTTTTTGATTTTTTTTCTAATTTACCTAAATAATTACACTAAAAAAAGTGTAAATCGTTGTTAGCTCAATTTCAAATTGGTAAGTTGTTTTTTTTTTTAGTTGTTTGGGGTTTAGCATTAATTCATTAGAGAAAAGCCAAAGATCATTATGTTTATAGTATCACGGTAAAAGAAGAAAGAAAGGTTATCAGGGACTTACAATAGCCGTAAGTCTTATGCAACAAAGGAAAATCTCAACAACTGTCAAACTCTGATCTTGTGCAACAAATTAGAGGCGAGAAAGGCAAAGTACGAGATAGGTAGAGAAGTAGTCGAACAAGAGAGAGAGGTAAAGATACAAAAGGCTGAAAAGCAATTGAGCAGAAAAGGGACAACATTGGTGGGTCTTGATAGGGGTAAAACAAAGTGAGTTAAGTTTAGGATTTTTTTGGGGGAATATACATATTTACCCTTAGTTATTATACAATTGGTTAATGTGATTAATTTAGTTATCAGTTTTAAAAATTGATAATCGATCGATTTAACTAGTTTAACTGACCTTAAAATCAACTATAATAAAAAATTGATTAGGTCAAACTGAATTAACCATATTTAATCAGTTTCGATTGGTTAAATCGATTTTTGCTCACCCTACGTGTACTTAGAAGTAGCTCATTTAGACTAGTAAAGCCTCTGCTAGTTGTTAGCCATAGAGGTGGTGGAGAGCTGATAATAGGCGTTTTTCTATAAATAGCATAAGAGTTTTCACTTTTATACTACCAGGAACTATAAAAATGTCTGAAATGAAAACATTTTTTTCTCCAACCAATTCCAAGCCATATTTAGCCAATTTAGGGCTTAGTGATCTTCCTTTTGGCCACCATGATGCTATGATTCCACTTGTTGTTCCATCAACCCATTTGAAGATGCTTGCACTAAGCTTCACTTGAGAGCACTGACTGGCTAATAGACTTCAAGATGTCCACACACTAGCTCGCACCAAGACACTTGCCTGTACACTCGATTAGGAATCACTATCTTATGCACAAAGCTTTTTTTGTTGCTCACATCAAGATAGTCATGGTAAGACCAAGCACACTAAGGTCTAACCATTACACCTACCTTTATTTTGTTGGGCTTGAATAAACAATGTAATTTAAATACAGATCATAAATGAATAATATTTTTATTTAGAAAATATAAAATACATGTATTATTAATTTAAAATTATTTAATATAACTAAAAATAATTTTTTCAATTTTACAAACATATATATTTAAAAATATTAGTCTTGCGTAGATTGTAAAAACATATGGATGAAAATAAAATTTAAACACATAATTGCAAACTTTTAAAGTTTCAATGTCAAATGAAGAATTTGGCTATAATTTTAATGTCAAATATATAAATTTCCATTTCATAACTAAGAAGGTGTTGCACCCCACTGACCCAACAACGAATACTAATTAGATAAGTAGTGGGCTTTATCAACATCAACCCTCTCCACCGTCTTGGTCCCACAAAGAATCTGCAACATCAGCGGTTGTTACACTAGCTGACACCATGATGGAATCCAATGCGTTACACGCAACAATCTCCCTTTTTTAGTTTATTAAAACAATTAATAATAATAATATATTCTCTTTCACCTTTTTCTGGTATTTGTTCAAATGGGGCGGCTGCCAAAATTTCCCATTTTAGAGTACATTTTTTCATTCCCATGTTTTATTTTAAATTTTTTATACATAAATTATAACACTTTTTAAATCAATCTATAAACAATATTTAAAGTAATATCCCTCAAATATTACTAAAATGTCCCTCATTTTAGTTAATAATCAGTAGACACATTGTTAAAATGATTGTAATGTCCTTATTGTTATAATTACAAAAATATTCTTCAAATAATATAAAAATTTATTATAATTTATTTTTATCTTAATTATGAAAATATTTAGTTTATCATAATTAATTAAAATTATTATAATTATGAAATTATTTTTATACTATAATTAACTAAAATTATTATAATATCTTTTATCATAATTATGAAAATAATTTTATAATTGCTTCATAAAAAGTTGACATATAATATTTTATTTAAAAATTACTATAAACACCCTTATTAAAATTTTGAAATAAATATTACTATTAAATTATGTATTAAATTTTAATATAATATAAAATTAATTATATATTAAATTATTTAAATATCTTTACCTTCATTTTGAAACAAATTGACATGTGACATTTGATTTAAAAATTATTATAATACTTTTACTTTTAACATAACATAAAATTAATTGCAAATTAAATTAATAGTTTCTTATTGAGATTACTAGAATGCCTTTTAATTATTTGATGATGAGTTGACATGCCTTAAATGAGTATAATGACTCTTTTACCATAATTATGAAAATTTATTTTTATCATAATTAATTAAAATTATTATGATACCTTTCTTATTATAATTATAAAAATATCTCTTTATCATAATTGATCAAAATTATTATAATATTTTTTAATTATAATTACAAAATATATTTTTTATCATGATTGATCAAAATTATTATAATATCTCTTATCATAATTATAAAAATGAACTTACGATTATTTTATGGAAAGCTGATATATGATATTTAATTTAAAAATTATTATAATATTTTTATTAAATTATGTATTAAATTAATTATAAATATATTCAAAATAATAATAATAAAAATCTTGACAAAAGATAGTTTATCCCAATATAACGGGTGGGTCTTTCTAAATTTTATTAAATTATCATTATATCATATTTATTAATATTAATGTCCACAAAGGTTACGTCTACATAAGTGAATTTTAATTTTAAAATTAACAAATTTAATTAGTTAAGTAGGAAACAAACATTTAGATTTATTTTTATATTTAATAAAAAATTACGTATCTTGTAAATTTGATATTTATAGTAATAATTATTCATTTTTATCGTATTGTTAGCGTTTTATTGAGAAGAAAAAAATAAACAAAATGATTTAAAATTATAATATTCGATTTGATATATATCAATTTTTTTATTAAGTTTGGATTGAATTTAAATATTAATTATATATATTAAATATATATTAAATTTTGAATTATAACATAAAAAATGATAAAAATTAAATTGAACATAATTATATATTTTTATTAGTTATATATATTAAATTTTTGTAGAATAAAAATAATTATTTTATATAAAAATTTATTTAAATATATTAAAATTATTATTAAAAATATAAAAATAAAAAATTAATTAACTAAATCAATCAATAAATTTTAATTTAATTAAAATTAATTTAAAATATTAGTTTAAATTCAAATCAAATTTTAAAAATTTATAATAATATATATTATTAAAAAATCGAATGAAATCAAATATGATCTAATTCGAAATATTATCAGCCCTAGTGCACTGCACTCCATGCTTTTCCACCCCCTTGTGATTTGACTCCACAATTAACCACAACTGATTAATGCCTTTCGAGTCCGCTCTTTCTACGCTTGAAAAGTAATTGGCGGACTCCATTTCTCTTTGTAGATCCCAGTTCAATCGCCTTTTCGCGCACGCCCGCGCTTTCACTGGCACCTCCGGTCCCCTTTACTCACCTAACCCATCTCTTCTCCTACCTTTCCACCTCCTCAACCGGTTCGCAGTTGCGTTTACACTTTAGTTTAAAGCTAATTTTCGTAATTGACACTAATGAGGTGTCAGAATCGTATTGGTTTAAATGGGGCACGGATTCCTTTTTGGCAACAAATAAAGGGCATTTAAGGGAAAATAATAGATTTCCTTACGTTTCAAGAGCCAATGAAACGGTGCCAGGTCTGATTTTTCCTTCGTGTTCTCCGGAAAGAAAAGTTGCAGTTGATGGCTACTTTTTCGGAAATTTAACCGTCATGTAAGGTGAATTTAGGTTGAATTTCTAAGGAATTTGATCTAAAGACAAGGTTAAATTATTACACAACAACTTAGGTTGTCTGTCGAAAGGGTTGTACTAGTTAAAACAACAAAATGCAATCAATTCACGCCACGTAAAAAATAAGAAAATCACATGCTTTTTGAATTGACAAAAATAACCTTAACTTGAATTTTTAATTACATGCTTTTCCTTTGGAAATGACGCGTTACTATTTGATCGGTCAGGAGGAATATTCATAGCTACACCCAATTAACGTCACCTCAGCGCGTTTGCCTTTTTTATTTTATTTTTTTCTCTTTCCTTTTTATTGGGTAGGCGATTTTATCTAAAAAATAAAGCAATTCTTCAAAAATTTAATTGGTTCTTTTTCTTTAATTGTTTTGGGTTTTTGAAAATTTTTTTTTCGTGACAGAAAAAAGCCGCAGTAACATAGGAAATAGAGATGGAAAGTAGAAAAAGAAGCAGCAGCTGTTCCTTCTCTCAAAATTCTCTCTTTCTTAGCTTGAGTGCTTAACCCCATCCCCCCCGCCCCAAAAATAATAATAATAATAATAATCGAATCGAAGTGAAGATCAAAAGTTTTTCTTCACTTCTGAAGCTATATCTCAAAGACCCAGTTCCAATTTTTTCCAAGTAGATCTGTAAAAACCTCTCCTTTTTATTGGTTTCTTACAACAGAAATGGGTTCTTAAACTGGTAAGTGTTTTTATTGGTTTTAGTTTAAGTTCATTTTTTACTTAAAAAGCCACTATGTTTTGCTATTCTTACGTTGTTTTGTAATGGTTGGGGTGGTCACATGTAAGAAAGATCTCGTTCATGGGGCTTCTCTATTTTTGTTTTTGCTTTGTTTTTTAGCTAAAATTTTGATTTTGATTGCATCAGAATTAGATCTTTTATCTACTTCTTTTGCTCTCAGTGATTCTTTTATTGTTTTTTAAAAATTATTTTAGTTTGATAGTGATGACCATTGAAAGATTTGTTTCAAGATCCTTTAATGATAATATAGTGTGTTTCATTTTTTTTAAAAAAAATATTTTTCGTGATGTTTTTGTTTATTTTAATTTTTGGTTACTGGGAAAACTGATTGAAAGTTAAGAAAGAAAATGGAAGAGAATCAATCTTGTTTTTCTTGATGTTCTGTTTTAGCTTGTTACAAGTTAAAAAATCAGTTTTCTAATGTTTGGAACCTATGAAGATGAAAGCCTCAATATTTTTGCTTCCTTTTTATTTTCTAACGGCTGTCAAACAGAATTATTTTCTTTTTCCTTCTTACTAGTTCTTACGAGTTCCTGCCTTCAGCTAAACCCTATATTTTATTCTTAAAACTCTAATTTCCTGATATTAATAATAATATAACGTTCAATTTTTCTAAAAAATTTTAGTAAGACACTATGTTTGGGCTTGGCAATTATGTCTGAAAGCGTAGGAAAATATGAAGTGAAAATTATTTATCTTTTTCCCTGGGGTATGCTTTTCTTTTTCTTTTCTCCTCCCTCTAATGATCTATCAGGTTTGCTGTCAATCTAAATTTAATATTCCACTACTATTTGTTGTTGTTGAAATCTTCTTGATGAACACTGACTTGGCCTTCCCCGTTGTTTTCTTAAAACCCTTAGTGGAATATTTGATCATATATATGAAGTTGACTTTTTTTTCACAGGTTGATTCTAATGGGTGCTGTTTCTAAATCACGGTTGGATTCTTATCAAATGAAAGCGTGTGTTGTGGATCGGAGTGGTTAAAGCAGAGGCCGACTCCAACAACATCTAATATTTCTTTTGAAGATAGCAGACCAGCTAGCGTAGATATGAATCACTTGACTGTAGAGACCGAAGATACTTTTGCAAGCTTGCTTGAGCTTGCTGCTAATAATGATGTTGAGGGCTTTAAACGATCCATTGAACGCGATCCTTCTGGTGTTGATGAGGTTGGGCTGTGGTATGGCCGTCAGAAGGGCTCGAAACAGATGGTTAATGAGGAGAGAACTCCTTTGATGGTTGCTGCTACATATGGTAGCATAGATGTTATTAAGCTGATCCTTTCTTCATCAGATGCTGATGTTAACCGTGTGTGTGGCCATGACAAAAGCACTGCCCTTCATTGTGCTGCCTCCGGTGGGGCTGTGAATGTTATTGATGTTGTGAAGCTGCTTTTAGCAGCTGGTGCTGATGTAAATGTGGTTGATGCAAATGGTCATCTTCCTGCTGATGTTATTGTTGTTCCTCCAAAGCTTCAAGCTGTAAAATTAGCTCTTGAAGAACTCCTTGCAACTGAGAGTTCTGTTCTTGAGCGGAATTTAAGGGTGTCAACAGCTATTTTAAATTTCAACTCCCCTCCTTTATCACCTTCTCAGGAGAATGGGTCACTGTCATCTGGTTCAGATTCCCCAATTAAGTCCAAGTCAACTGATGTTCCTATTTCTTCAACATCAGAGAAGAAAGAATACCCGATTGATCCATCTCTTCCAGACATTAAGAACAGCATATATTCAACTGATGAGTTCCGGATGTATTCATTCAAGGTGCGGCCTTGTTCACGTGCCTACTCCCATGATTGGACAGAGTGCCCATTTGTTCACCCAGGGGAGAATGCTCGAAGAAGGGATCCTAGGAAGTTCCATTACAGTTGTGTTCCTTGCCCTGATTTTCGCAAGGGGGCATGTAGGCGTGGAGATATGTGTGAATATGCTCATGGTGTTTTTGAATGCTGGCTACACCCTGCACAATATCGAACCCGGTTGTGCAAGGATGGTACTAGTTGTGCAAGGAGAGTCTGCTTCTTTGCTCATACTCCTGAGGAACTCCGACCTCTTTTTGTCTCCACTGGTTCTGCTGTTCCATCTCCTCGTTCAAGTACTTCTGGTGCTGCAGCCATTGATTTTGCTACCGCCTTGAGTCTGTTGCCTGGATCACCTTCATCTGTATCTGTAATGTCTCCATCACCATTCACACCACCCATGTCTCCATCTGCAAATGGCATGTCTCATTCTAATGTTGCCTGGCCACAGCCTAATGTTCCAGCCCTGCATCTACCAGGAAGCAATCTTCAATCTAGTCGCCTGAGATCTTCGCTTAATGCAAGAGACATTCCAGCTGAAGACTTCAACTTGCTGCCTGATTTTGATATGCAGCAACATCAGCTGATAAATGAGTTATCTAGCTTTACCCAGCCATCAATGAGTTCGAGTTCTTTGAACCGATCTGGTCGATTGAAGACCCTGACCCCATCAAATCTTGATGATCTCTTTTCTGCTGAGAACTCATCTCCTCGGTACTCTGATCAAGCATTGGCTGCAGCCGTTTTCTCTCCAACCCATAAGTCTGCTGTTCTCAATCAATATCAGCAGCAGCAAAGCATGCTATCACCTATAAATACAAATTTTTCTCCTAAAAATATCGAGCATCCTCTATTGCAGGCTTCTCTGTCTGGTAGGATGTCTCCTCGAAATGTAGAACCTATCTCACCAATGAGCTCTCGGGTTTCAATGTTAGCTCAACGTGAGAAGCAGCAACAATTTCGCAGCCTAAGCTCTAGGGAGCTAGGTTCTGGCTCTGCTGCCTTTGTCGGTTCCCCTGTAAATTCTTGGTCAAAATGGGGATCCTCCAATGGGAATCCAGACTGGGCTGTCAATGCAGATGAATTGGGCAAGCATCGCAGGTCATCTTCATTTGAGCTTGGCAATGGAGATGAGCCCGATTTATCATGGGTTCAGTCCCTTGTAAAAGAATCTCCCACTGAGATCAAAGAGAAAATGGCAGCACCTGTCTCGGGTATTGCACCTAATGCTTCTTCAAGTGAGGGTTCTAATATGAACTCTCAAATTGATCCTGTCGATCATGCTGTGTTGGGAGCTTGGTTTGAGCAAATGCAGCTTGATCAGCTTGTGGCTCAGCAAAACTGAACCAGTTCACTAAGCCCTGAGGTAGAGACAACAAAAAGGTTTTGGTAAATAACATTTGTATTTTTTGGGATTTTGTTGGTGATGAATGCGGAAGGAAGGTAAACAGTAACAAAAGGTGAAGGCAAAGAGAGAAGGTCAGTTGACAAGTGAAATTTCATTTTCACCATTTATTATTACAACAAAACAATTAGAAAAGGTTGAGGATAAACCTCTGGGTTATGTTTAAAGAAATTATGCCCAGGCTAGGTGTTTTTTCTTCCAATATTTCGAAATTAGACTTCTATTGCTGTCATTTTATTTCTATTTTTTTTCCATATTTCTAATGATGAGCAACTTTATTCCATTACAATGAAAACCAAAAATCCTGTGCTTCCTTCTATCCTTTTCCTGTTATATTCGTTATCACATTTGTGAGAAATCAAATGAAAATGGATCATGAAGTTCTCATCTAAAGAGTTTGATGGTTTTTCGGGCTCGGTCAATTTTTTTAGAGAGATTATAAGATAGAGCAAAATTTGTTTCTTCTAATGTAGTTTGGAGTCAATAACTTGTTGGTGCCTGTAATTTGAAAGAATGGGGTGGAGAATTTATGATGCTTTTGTTGATGATGACGATGATGTAACATTCAGCTATAGTTTTACTGCTTTATTCATATTCCAATACCTTCATTGTTACTTGTACTATAAATTTCTTTTCATTTCTTCTTCTTAATCTTCCTGTCTTTTTGTAACTTTCTTTTATTCCATTGGTGTTGATTCTTTTTCTGTTCTTATCTCTTTGGTATTGGTGGGGGTTTATTGGAATGGCATGGCATGAAAGTCTTGAGATTTGGATTCTAAATCCCAGTTGTGGAATCTGAGAATTTTTGTGGTGAAAAAAAAAAGCATTTATAATTGATTCTGAAATCTTAACAGGGAAGATCTGATGCTAGATTTTTACATTTTTATTGCTCAAGGGATGTGGATTCTGCCAAGCTGATCAAACTTTTTAGCAAGGACATTATTCATCAATTCATACAACAAAGTTTCATTTAGTTTCATATGGGTGATATTTAGATGCTAACTGTGAAGCTAAACCTCATATGGGTGATGAACTGATGATTTTGTCTTAAAGAGTTATATGTATATATATAATATATTGAAGCAGAGTGGTTTGGGATTAAGAAGTGTACAAAAGTATTAACTATAGTTGTAAGCCTATAAATTAGTTGTTTGAGAAATCATTACAAATTGATGACATTCATTCTCATTTTGTCTGGCTTCTTTATAAGAACTATAAAGTTAAAAGTGAAGTAAAGAGAAAAAAAAGTATGGTGAAAATTCTCTTTGCACTCTTTTATTTATTTTACCACTCTGCTTTCTTGAAATAATAGAAAAGTGAAGAAAAATATGAGTGGAGGTGGAGCTTTGCCATCCCTCTTCAACTTTCGGTGCCTTGGTTGCTACATTTTTCTTTAAAAGTTTTCACTAATCATATTAAACTCCATTTATAATAGAACCAAGTATACAAAAAATGTATCTATAAAGATATAGAAGTAAAGATAAGATAAAATAAAATAATAATTGAGCAAGCAATTAGCAAACAAAGTGGCCAAAATGCTCTTACAATGGGAATTTTACTTTGTAAAATTCTTACATCAAAACTCTTATTTTGGTTTTCTTTAGGGTGGTGTGGAATTAGTGGTTGAGTTGGGTAGGCATTGTGGGGTTTAGTTTAATATAGTAAATGAAAAAATGGTGTCAAAAACTGCCAAATTGGGTAATATAATAAATGTCCTTTATATATATATAAATTATTAATTTGAGATTTGAGATGTATAATATTTAGATAATAATAAATTATTTTAATTTCACAAATGGAATTAAAATAATGACATGTTTTATTTTTAATTAATTTTTTAAAATATATAAGAGACGTGTCATCATCTTAATTTCGTTTGTGAAGTTAAAAAATTTTACTGTTAATATATTTAATAAATTTTTTAATATTTATATGAATAAAATATTAAATCAAACAGTTAGTTTAATAAAATATGAGTTGGAGGTAAAAAAAAAAAATCAACTGGTGTAACTATTTAAAATTCTTTTATATATAAATATATGCCATATATAAATGTTATTAAGGGGTGTGATACTACATTGGACTGACCCTTTATAAGATTCAGAAAATAAGTTTTGGTGACCAAATAACTATGCTGCGGAGGACAATGTTCATTAGCACAAAATTTCTGAAGGAACCAATGAATTGAAGTACTGGACATCCCCGGGCAGATGAGTGGACGTTCTAAAGGCTAAAGCTGTTACGGTTACTAAAATCAAGAGTACCAATTTTGTAAATTTTGTGTTTTATCGATATAATAATTTTAAATGTTATGAGGTTAATTAATTGTGATTTTCCAAAGATTTTAAATTCAAGACTTTGGAAAATTTTGTTAGGGCAATGGTTCTCTTCAACAGAAACTGGGGAGGAAAGATTTTTTTTTTTTGGTTCCTTTAACGGGTGATTAATCTATTTCAGGAGGGAAGGAAGGCTTTCCCTATTTCCCCAATTTAGATAGAGCAGTTAGGTTGGTAGCATTTTCAAGGAAGTGATGCTTGCAGTAAAAGACAGTACATAAATTATTAATGACCCATATATATATATATATATCCATAAAATCCCAAGCTTACGAATCTAATTTTGTTTGTATATACTTGTGGGTTGCACTCATTCTATGTTTGATCCATATCTAGGAATTCTATTCTAGGCGTTGCTTGTTTGAAATATGGGATCACCGAATCAGTGAGTTGGGCCAATAGGTAGATCGACTGTGTTCAACTTGAACAGTGCAACGATTTATAGAGACCTAGCTAACGAAAAGTTGGATTAATGCTTTTTTTTGGACCCAAAATCCCAATTGAAGTTTCTGCCAACAAAACAGAAGAAATTCCTGGACGGCCTGTCTCTTGACTCTTTACGAATGGTTTACTTCGCTAACCTATCAACAAAGCCTATAGCCTATTATTATCACTGAACAGTCCAATCTTTCTAGATTTCGAGTAGTGAAACAGAGGAAAGAGTTAGACGAAATTTTTTATGTAAAGTTTATGAAGTTTTTAATTAAAATTTAAAATAGATATATTAAAAAATTTTATTATATAGATTAAATATATAAATTTTAAAAAAATTTAAAAATATATATTTATAAATATTTTTAATAAAAATATTTATAAAATTTTGTTGTTAAATAAATATGATTTAAATTATAAATAATATTTTTAATAAATTTTTATATATTATTATTTTTCATATTAAATTTTATTAATATATTAATTAAAATTTTATTAAATAATATTTAAAATAAATTTTTTCATAAAAATATTGATAAAATTTTTATAATCAAATAAATACAAATCAAATTTAATAAATTTATATATATATTTTATAAATATTTTTAATAAAAATATTGATAAAATTTTTTTGTTAAATAAAAATGATTTAAATTATAAATAATATTTTTAATAAAATTTTTATATATTATTATTTTTCATATTAAATTTTATTAATATATTAATTTAAATTTTTATTAAATAATTTTTAAAATAATTTTTTTCATAAAAATATTGATAAAATTTTTATAATCAAATAAAATTAAATTTTATTAATCTATCTATTTAAATTTTTTATTAATATTTTTATTAAATGATTTTAAAAAAAAAGAATTTTACAAAACTCCACTCAAACTTCACATAAATTTTCTACAGAAACCAACCGCAAACATCTCCAACAAGTCACGTCCCCAATCTCGTCCCGAGTCATCACCGCCATTCCCAAAAAGTTTCAGTTCTTGCCTCTCTCCTCCAACAAGTCACCGCCTTTCGTATCTCGTCGACCACCCTCCTCATTGCCAGTCCTAAAAAGTTTCACCATTTCAGTTGTCGCATGTCCCCTGACTTCTTCAACAAGTCTCCTCAGTTCCCATCCCAAAACGCTCCATCACTCCAGCTCTCCCCTCCTGATTTCTCTAACGAGTCACCGCCCTTCGAATCCCTTGGACCACTCCCGTCTCAAAAACCTTTAGCAATTCAGTTCGCTTCTCCAACAAACCTCGTCCGACAGTAAACCTTCTCAAACGCCTTACTGAATTTAAATTGCTATTCCTCATCATTCTACATTATTTCGAATAAAAACTTGATATTATTTTAATGTTAAATTTGCAGCTTAGTCTGGTTTCTTCACAAGTATGTCAAAGATGGGGCTTAGGCCATGAACATGTAACCTAACTTATGTGTAATTTATGCTTCTTATTTCTTTTTTCTTTTTGCCATTTTGGTTTTTGTTTCCTTTCAAACAAAAACATGTTTGAAATAATTATGAGTAAAGATGAACGATATATAGCTTTTGGTTGGTGTACTCGTGCGAGAGCTCATGGAGTACGTGACGTGAGTACCATGGGTCAGTTTTTGGTTAATGCCAAAAGGACAAATTCTGTATTCTATTTCTCTATGAGTTGCCCTGTGGTGTAGATAATGTATCTATGTTTATGTTTTAGGTGTTTTATTTAGATTAGAGTCATGGTGTTCAAAAAACTTATGCAATCCTTCGCTTGTTGCTTTTACATTTTTATTTTATTTTTATTTTAACTTCAAAAAAGCCAAAAGTGCGTTTGATTCTAAAACAAACACTTAAGAAATATAATTGTTTTAATAAGAAAATGCATGGTTTTACTATTATGTGGAACCCTTATGTTAGAATTGGTGTTACATTTTATCGATTTGTTTATTTTTAATTAATTGTGAGTTTTCTTACTACCATTTGCTTTTAGCTCTTTATTAGCAACCATTCAGGAATCAAAAAGAAAGTAGCAAAAGGATCAGCCAGACACAGCCTTATAGACGGCATTTTTTGACTCGGTAGAATTGATTTCCTTACCAAAATTTCAATTTGTGACTCAGTCTTGATATTTATTATTTGTATTAGCATTAATTTTTCTTTGTTTCAATGAAATTGTTGAATTCCTTATCCCAGAAAAGAATAAAAATGCAGTACTACACAAATAACTACGATCATCTGAGAGCAAGGATGGTAGTATAGAGATCAGAAAGTTTTTCCTCAATGTTTTATGCCTTCTGCTGGGTCATTTTGATTGGAAAATTTTGAAGGCATAGTGTCAGAATATGGAAAGCAGATATCACATGTTCTTTTATCACTGTTAAGTATGCATGAGGGTTCTTTACTTAAACAAGAGCTGCATATGTCTATTGCACTTTATTGGAAATAAGTGGACTGATTGTACTCAATCTTAGCATTCCATGATTCTCTGGACTTGAGTACTCTTTATGCAATGTTATTATCATTTCTAACATACAATGTCTTAGTTACAGTTAGGGATTGTGTCTTAATGTCAACATACTCGTACTGTTGTCCGCTTTTGGTGCATTTTGGCAAGCTTCACTGCACTGTTGAAGATGTAATAGATGGGGTTGTCTGCATATTCAAGGCTGTCATTTTAAGCCAAATAATCATCTGGAAACAGTCTTACTGACACTGACCAAATGGACGCTGTGGTATCACTGCTGGTTCACCTTCTTGATGAGCAAGATGCTGCAACTAGAGCGATTGTTATGCTCGTAGCAGATTACTGTTCCATAAACCTGTAATTTTTTGGCAGAACCAGTAATTTAATGTCCTC